CAGGGAGAATTGCTTGAACCCAGGAGACAGAGGTTGCAGTGAGCCAAGGTTGCGCCACTTCACTCCAGCCTAGGCAACAGAGCGAGACTCTGTCTCAAAATAAATAAATAGGGCCTGGTGCGATGGCTCATGCCTGTAATCCCAGCACTTTGGGAGGCTGAGGCAGATGGATCACGAGGTCAGGAGATTGAGACCATCCTAGCTAACACGGTGAAACCCTGCTTCTCTAAAAATACAAAAAATTAGCCGGGCGTGGTGGCGGATGCTTATAGTCCCAGCTACTTGGGAGGCTGAGGCAGGAGAATGGTGTGAACCTGGCAGACGGAGCTTGCAGTGAGCCAAGATCGCGCCACTGCCCTCCAGCCTGGGTGACAGAGCGAGAGCGAGATTCTGTCTCTAAATAAGTAAATAAGTAAGTAAATAAATAAATAAATAGATAGATAAATAGATAAATAAAGTGTGGACATGTTACGCCATCAAAGCAGTTTCAAGAATAAGTTTGGTACCAGTAGTGCTATTTAGGAATAACAGAAAACAGAGGTGTGAAGACTGCTTATGGTTAAGTATCCTTGCCCCAGAGCCACCTATTTATAGAAATTAAACCCCTATCGTGCCCTGGAGGAGCCTGGCTCAGCATCCCTGGGCACCTCGAGCAGCTGTCTCCTGACCCTGCTGGAGTGCGAGCAACCCTACCCTGCAGGCGCTGGGCCAGGACACTGACCACAGCAGGCCGGCCAGCATCGGCCAAGCAGAGGCTGTACCACCTGTGCAGCTGCTGCTTTTTGCTGACCCTCTCCCAGAAGTGCTCCCTGAGCTCTGACTCGGTCCTGTTTGCAGGTGTGCCAACCCTCTCCCAGAAGTGCTGCCTGAGCTCTGACTCGGTCCTGTGTGCAGGTGTGCTGACCCTCTCCCAGAAGTGCTCCTTGAGCTCTGACTCGGTCCTGTTTGCAGGTGTGGCTCTTGTGGGCACAAGTGATAGAGGAGCCGGATGAGTGTCACCAAGAGGCCAGAGCTTCCATGTTGGCTACAGAGTGACTGCAAGTGCCATTGGGCTGTGCTTCTGCTGCTGGAGGGATGGTCTAGAATCTGAACACTCTCTGCTCTATCCTAATTCTCCAAAGCTGGACTTTTCCAAAGTTGTAAGTCTGAAAGGAAGGAAGGAAGGAAGGAAGGAAGGAAGGAAGGAAGAAAGAAAGAAAGAAAGAAAGAAAGAAAGAAAGAAAGAAAGACAAAGAAAGAAAGAAAGAAAGAAAGAAAGAAAGAAAGAGAAAGAAAGAAAGAAAGAAAGAGAAAGAAAGAAAGAAAGAGACAGGGGCAGGGAGGCAGGGAGGCAGGGAGGGAGGGAAGGAAGGAAGGGAAAGGAAAGAAAGAAAAAGAAAGAAGGAAGGAAAGAAAGAAGAAAGAAAGAGAAAGAAAGAGAAAGAGAAAGAAAGAAAGAAAGGAGAGAGAGAGGAGGCAGGGAGGGAGAAAGAGACAGAGGGAAAGAGGGAGGGAGGGAGAGAAGGAGGGAGGGAAGAAAGGAAGAAAAGAAGGAAAGAAACGAAGAAAGAAAGTGCCTGGGCAACATAGTGAGACCCTGTCAAGGAAGGGAAAGGGAGGGGAGGGGATTGTGAGGGAAGGGAGTCCCTCCCACTGGGGGTCCTTGTCTGACACCCCACTACTCTCTGGAAGGAGAAGCTGGAGCTGCTTGAGCCCTGGAAGAGCCCATTCCTGCTGTTTAAGAAGCTCCTGAAGTTTGATGTGTTCAGTGGCCCAACTTCAAGCTGCCTTGCCGCTGGTTCAACCCTGACCTGCTCCACAGTCTGGTGACTGGGCTCTTCGGCCCGTCCTTGTAACCAAACTCATGGCTCCCCACATCCTGTGCTGGAGCCCCACTCTGACTCCGTGCCTGCAGAGCGGGTTAACAGCACAGTTGGGTTTGAAAAGAGGCGGGCCTGGGTGTGAGTGTCCCGCTGTGCTCCCTGCTAGCTGTGTGGCTTCAGGCAGGTTCCCCATCTTATGGTCCTGTTCCTCATCTGAGAAATTAGCATCACAACAGAACAAGTCTCAGGGAGCCCAGGAGGCACTCAGCTGGAGGCAGGATAAAGCCCCCGCATCGTGCTCTGAGGGGGCAGGGGGACCTCTGGACCACAGCCAGCTCTGCACAGCACACAGCCCCACTGGCCGTGCTCAGTGAGACCCGCCTGCTGGGTGTTCCTGCACTTGCTTTACATCATGGATAACTGTCTTGGAGACAGGATCTGAAATAGTTACTTGGTCCCTACAAAAAGTGTCTTCCATAGAGTAGGTGCTCAGGAAATGGTGTCAGTTGATGAACAGATGCATTTTATATAAACCAGGAAAGAAATCACGTGGTTCTGAGCCTGCAGTTTTCTGAAGCAAACAGCTGCCTGTGCTTCCTGTGGCCCTGGGGGCAGGTGCACCTGCACAGCAAGGGGGCTGTAAAGAGGCGAAAAAACTCTCTTCTGAGTTGAAATTACAGACCTGTGACCTGCATGCTGAATGGGAAGGGGTGAGGAGCGCTGTGGGAAAGGCTCCTCCTCGGCAAGGAAAGGGGTGATTTCTCCAGAGCATCCAGGCGAGTGTTTTGCAATGCGGTATGTCACCATCAGGAACCGAGGAGAGTTTAGACTCTGCATTTACTACACCAGACCCACAAAGCACCACGCGTGCTCTCAGTCTCAGGAGAAACAGACTCTTTCACTTTTCAAATCAATCTTCCGTGCGTGTATTTACTATAATGTTACAGCCCATTTGGTTCCAGCTTTAAATCACGAAGACATGCTGTACTTAACGACTTTAATTGAAGCAACACACAGCCACATGGGAAATATCATCTAGAGGCCAATCATCTCTTTCCCAGAAAAGCTCTGGGGACAGGGGCAGGGGAGAGAGAGAGGGAGCCGAGAAGACTTGATGTGCAAGTTCAATTTCTACAGGTGAACACCAGCAGCTTTGGCAATGCTAGGTTGTTAGGAATTCAGCCTTACTTCTTTTCATCTCTGTGGTTTACTAGGTGGCTCTCAAAGGCACATGACTGCAGTGCCCCACTGCACACACCCAGCAGAGAGCACAACAGGGCTCATTGGGGAAGCTGGCTCCTGCAGGGCTGCTGGGCCGACCTCTTTCAGCTGGAAAAAACCATAAGTGCTCACTAACCTGCTGTGCTCACCATGAACTTCCACTTGACCACATAGGCATCCCCCTCGTGGAACTGCCCGATGCTCTGTTTGGGGAGCCTGCTATAGTCGAATTCTAGGATGTGCCAGACATCCACAGAGACACTGGTGATCTCAAACTGCCTCCTGTCATGTCCTTCCACCAGGCCACAGCCACGGCCGACGTTCACCTGGTCCAGGATGGTGCCTGCTGTCGTCTGGGGCATGGACACCATCCGTGTCACATCGTACGGCTTGACATCAGGGGGGTCTTCCTGTGGGGAACACGAAGACATCGGTTCAGTTGCCTGTTTCCACAGCCATTCCTTGTCACACTCAATGCTGCTTCAGCTGTTCATGGGACAGCATAAAAATACAGCTTCCATCCTCTATCTTAGGATGTTTAACTGCAGTCAGGGAAAGGCTGCATTTCCAGAAAGACTCTGGGAGGTCTGAACACCCATTGCCACAACAGCACATGGATGCCCGAGAACAGGTGCAAACCAGACTCTTCACCTCCCGGAGTCAGATTAGAATTGGAGGCCTGTCTGCTGTTCTACCAGTGAATCCTGGGAAGGCCTCTTAGCTTTAAGGGGGTGTGTGTGTGTGTGTGTGTGTCTCGGTTTTTTTTTTTTAATTAAAAAAATATTTTAGTTGACACATTATTATGAGTATGATTTGATGTGTTGATACATGCATCTGTTTTATGGGGAAGGGGGTGTGGGAAGGAGACGGGAGAGGGAAGATAGGGAGATGTTGGCCAAAGGTTACAAAATGACAACCAGAGAGGAGGAATGAGCTCTGGTTTTCTCCTGCACAGTGGGGTGACTGTTTTCCAATACTGTATTCATATTTCAAAAGAGCTAGAAGAGAAGATTTGAATGTTCTCACCACAAAGAAATGGTACATCTGAAGTGATGACCACACGAACTATCCTGATTTGATCATTTTACATCAAGGCCATGTTTGTTGGGACCCGAACCAAGCCCTGAGGATTGAGACTTGGTCACTGGAATACCTTGTGCTGGGCAAGTTCCCTGGGGTTCTTCTCATTCTCTCTCTTCGGTTCTGTCCAATCCAGAAACTTCTCTTTGAACAAAATTGTTTCATTGTGTTCAGTAAGTCTCCCAAATAGAGCCCAGTCGGGTCGCCCCTGTCCTTTTCTGCAGGGTGGGGGTGGGGGTTGGGAGAACAGACAGGAAAAGAACCAAGATTAAGCCAAGCTTAAACAAAGGAATCTAAAACACATGCGGCTACTGGAAAAAATCTCAAAGCATGTAAGTGGTGTATAGAACAAATGGTTTATTTTCCTGCATGTTACCAAATAATGACATTTTGTTATTTTAGTCTGAAGTCTTGCAAAGCTTTGTGTCCATGAAGTTTTTGATGTGCCTAAATGTGACATGAACCATGTCAGGACTAGACTTTTCTTACAATCTAGCAAGTCTTTTTTTTTTTTTTTTTTTTTTTTTTTTGAGATAAGGTCTTGCTCTGTTGCCCAGGTTAAAGTGCAATTGCACAATCACAGTTCCCTGCAGCGTCGAACTCCTGGGCTGCAGTGATCCTCCTGCTTCAGCCTTGCAAATAGTTGGAACTGCAGATGTGTGCCACCATGCTTGGCTGATTTTTTTTAATAGAGACCAGGTCTCATTATGTTGCCCAGGCTGTCTTGCACTTCTGGCTTCAAGCGATCCTCCCACCTCAGCCTCCCAAAGTGCTGGGACTACAGGTGTGGGCCACTGTGGCTGGCCACATTCTAGCAAATTCTTGTCTTTGGAATGCCCTTGGGGTGGCATGCTGGGTGGAGATTTTGGCAATGGCAGGAGCTGTGGGCAAACCTCACTTGTCATCTACTCTATGCCACCCAGTCACCTGCAAATGCTCACCAAGTTTCCCTCCAATTAATTAATCGACGTAAGGAAGAGGTAGCTCCCCTCCCCACAATTCTCTACTATTTTATTTCATGTTACAGCAAAGCTCTCCAGAGTACGGAGATTCTCCTGTCACTAAAATGAACACACTTTCATTTTCTTGAAGTGCCCTTTTGTACACTTATTTCTAGGCGACTGGCCAGGGCAGCAGACAAGGAGAGCACAGAGAAATAGGAAAGAAAATGGCACAGTCCCAACTGGAGGTCTTGTGTGGGCTTGAGATTTCAGAATTTGCGCTGTCCCCAAGAACACAGGTAATTTAGAAAAAGTCAGAGCTGAGGGTTGGGTGTGGTAGCTTATGCCTGTAATTCCAGCAGTTTGGGAGGCCGAGGCGGGTGAATCACCTGAGGTCAGGAGTTCAAGACCAGCCTGGCCAACACAGTGAAACCCTGTCTCTACTAAAAATAAAAAATTAGCCAGGCGTGGTGGTGGGTGCCTGTAATCCCAGCTACTCGGGTGGCTGAGGCAGGAGAATCGCTTAAACCCGGGAGGTGGAGGTTGCAGTGAGCCAAGATAGCACCATTGCATTCCAGCCTGGGCGACAAGAGTGAGACTCTGTCTCAAAAAAATAAATAAATAAATTAAAAATTTAAAAAAAGAAAGAAAAAGAAATAAAAGAAAAGAAAAAGTAGAGAAGATACGCGTGCTGTGGAGGGCGTAGCCCTGGAATAATATGCATGATCTCTTATCCCTTCACATCCATCTTCGGCTGTGAATCCGGCCCGGGATGCAGCCACCCCTTAGAGCAACCCGCCCTGCTGCCCATGCCCTGCTGTGCTACTGCCTCAGTGGCTTCCTGCTTGGTCAAGACCACAGCTGCTGATGTCACAGCTGAGGCACATCAAAAAGGCTGCCTGATTCAAAGAAAGCTGCCGGATAAATCATAGAACACAGACACTTCCACCTCGTGCTCTTGTGGGACTTTGGGAACCAAACATAAGCACCTATGGAAAATGCACACGGTCTTGAAAGGCTGTGGTCTTTATCAGAAAATATCTGAATGCCTGTCTCTTATGTCAGTCCTACTCTGCAGGCTTGCTAAGATGATGATTGAAAGGGTTCTTGGCTTCTGCTTTAGAATCTGTCGTTTATGTTTTGAAGCGTCGTGAGCAAGCCACGTGGCAGATTGCAGGGTGAGGGGGACGAACCTGGGCCAGGAGCCAGGTGTGTTTCTCTCCCCCCTTCCCTGACTTACAGTTGGAACTGGGCTCAGTGGTTCCAGCCTCATTTGCTAAGAAGGGCTGGGTGTGTAATCCTGGCTGCATCTTAAAATCCCCAGGAGCTTTTAAGACGTATTGACACGTAAGCTCTAACTCACATGAATCGAAAACACATCTCAGGCTGGGCTGAGCAAACGCATCTTTTTAAAGGCCCCTCAGGTGATTCTGTCTCAGAGATGTTGGAGCTCCGTCATCTACTTCCAGATCTGTGATTATGCCATTATTAAATACAGTTGGCCATCACATAGATTTTATGCTTTAGCCTGTTTTTTTTTCCTTTGCTATACCAAATAAAATCGTTTGAGCTGTAGTTCCAGTCCTTAAAACAATGGTTGTTACCATATTGATGTTAAACATTAGTACATTTGCTTAACAAGGATTTTAAAACTTCTTACCACATTGACATAATTTTAATGATTTCTATAATAATTAATAAGGAAATCAATAATTGGATTTTAAAGCAGGAACCTAGGCAGGAAAGTTGAAATTCATATACCAGTTCAATGGAAAACATTAAAATGCAGTTGTGTGATGCCCAATATTCTACGCTGTTTGGTGGTTCATCGGTTTCAATCTATTGTAATGGCACACATAGTTAAAAAACCTACTTTTTTTTGGTCTGATAGTTGAAAGAACAACAGCAATCCTTTGCATGTAAGAATTCTTTTTTTCATAATCATAATTTCAGAGTTTGTACATATTCTATTGAATTGCCAAAATGACTTTAAAGAGTCCAGTACATGCAGGGAATATTAAAATTGCAATCATAATTTTAATACCATCTTTTCCCCCTCTTCCCTTCCCAAAGGTATAAAGACATAAACATCATCTGCTGCCAAATAAATGCTGGAATTTGAGGGTGATGCTGGGAAGGTATGAAATTAGAAGGAGGCATGTTGCTTTTGCACTTTCAGATCAATGGCTGAATTCCAGACCCGGGAAGCCTTTCAGATCTGCATGTATTTGTTTCAACAATTGCTGTTCGTCTGCCACAGCAGCACCTGGGACGCCGCAGGGGAACTGGCAGCTTTTCTTGCTCACTTCAAGAAATCAGCTGTAACAAACCTCTTCCAGAAGACTACAGCATCCATATTTCCACAATAGTTAGATAAAAGTTAAAGAACCGTTCCTTTTGTGACTATTCACAGTCCGCTGCATATAACCGTTTATGAAAACTGAACCCTATAAAGAGCGAGAGTAGAGGACTGTGGTGAGAACGGAGGGATCGAAGGGAATCAGCTCGCTCGGGGAGCCGTCCCCAGGTGGTGGCAGGAGTACCTGGGGATAAGCGGATTGCATTCTCCAGGATCCAGGGGATTGATGTCACAGTTCTCATAGTCAAAGGTTCCATTCCATAAGTGCTTTGCCAGCTGAAATGCTATTTTTCGTTGTGCTAATGTGACTTCTTTCCCATGCCATACGTAAACTTCACTACCAAAATCAAACACCAGTACCTGGGAGAAATGGCACAAAATAATTTGTTAACTTCAAGAACGTGCAACAGTTGAATCAGGTGCAACAAGGTCTCTGTTGACAGTGACTCAAATGGAGGAAGACAGAAATCCCAATGGGGCGACCAACGCAGACACAAAAATGCCAGGAGATCTCAGCTGGCACTGCCCTGCACAAAATGCCAGGAGATCTCAGCTGGCACTGCCCCGCCAAGCCAGCCTCCACCCTGGGGGCATGATTCCTCCTCCCAGTGTCCTAAGTGGCCAAGATAATGTTCCCACCTCTGAACTCTCAAACTGCTTACAACTTGCAATTCACAAGAGTTCTTTAGGTACATCATCCTGTCGACTTCCTCCCTCTCTCCCCGATTCCTTCCCCTCTCATGTGCTCATTCATTAATATATACATAGAGGCCACTTCATATATGCCAGGCACTCGTGGTCCAATGGTGTCTTCTCTCCCGTACACAATTCCAAGATCCTTAAGGGCAGGGATTAGATCATAGTAATACATACAGGAGGGATTGATTATTAAGTGTTTGCTGAATGAATACATGAATGTAATGCTATTTCTTATTTTCACAGTTTGTTTTACTCTTTCGATTTCTCCCTTCACTTCCAGCAATTCAAATTTGCTTAACTCTAAACTCGGCTCAATTTCACTTTCTATTGAAAATTATTCCTGATGATTTCTTTTTCTGTGACTTTTCCTCCATGTAAATGCCCATACATATCACACAGTCAACCTTGCTCCAGATTACATTCCTTTTAATACTCTTACACCCAATAAAACTTAAGGGCCTGTGTGCCTTCCACTTTCTCAACACCTAGTATACTTAACGGTACTGGAAATAAATGTAATTAATAAATATTTACTGGTGTGATAGGACAAAAACAGCATATTAATTGAAAAATCCATAAATTATATATATATGCATCTATTGTTCCTCAAACTTAAGGACTGAAAAATATTCTAGTTAATGTTTATACAAAATGTAAGAGATAGGGCTAATATTTACATTTTGCCTATGATGCTTTCAATGATCCATGTCACCTTTGAACAATATTCTGGATTCCATATTAGCATTTAAGATGTCAGTAATGGGTTGAAATAACAAATATTCTGGCTGGGCACAGTGGCTTACACCTGTAATCCCAGCACTTTGAAAGGCTGAGGCGGGTGGATCACGAGGTCAGGAGATCGAGCCCATCCTGGCCAACATAGTGAAACCCTGTCTCTACCAAAAATACAAAAATTAGCCAGGCGTGGTGGCATGCACCTGTAGTCCCAACTACTCAGGAGGCTGAGGCAGGAGAATCGCTTGAAGCAGGGAGGCGGAGGCTGCAGTGAGCCGAAATCTCGCCACTGCACTCCAGCCTAGCAACAGAACAAGACTGTGTCTCAGGAAAAAAAAAAAGAAAGAAAATCTTTTTAAAAACTGCAAATGTTCTACAATGGGTACTGACACTGGCTAACCTTTATTGGGCACTTACTCTCTAATTTATTGGGCAGCCTGTGCTGAGTGCTTTCAATGTGCTTTCTCATTGAAGGGCAGAGCCCATGGGCTGTACCTCTTTGGGTTGCAGAAGGGAGCACTTTGGAATTTCCCCCCAGTAGTTGTTATCAGGAACAAATTTGTCATCTATGAGACGGTAAATGCAATTAGTTTCTATTATGGCTGCTTCATAGAGTTCATCTTCTTTTGGGTCTCCAGCAGCTTGGGGATAAGAACAACAGGAGGGCATCACATTTTACGTTGCAAAATAGCTGGTTTAGAAGAATGAGCTAAGGGAGAAGAAAGCAGATTCAAGTCTTGTCAATCTCTGAAGTGCAATAAAGTCTTACACTGGTAACTGGTCTGGCCACCCAGAAGCTTCCAGAAGTCTTTGGCTGCATGAGTGTGTATGTTAATTCCTTCTTCGATGGTTTAGATATAAACAGCTCTACAATCAAACTTCCTCTTTGTCTGAATTAAAGCTGCAAGTTCTGAGGCCTAAGAAAAGAAAGGAAGACAATTACCTGGGTAGAAAAGCCCTTGGCTAGACAGAGTGGCACGTGTCAAAACCAGAGGGAGAAACAGTGTGTGCCTGCAAGGAAAGCCTTGTGATCATGGGTGTGGGTGGATGCTGGTTACTGGGTATTTTCAATGACCTCGAGAAAATGTAACTGAAAGACCAGGGAGTATCTATCAATTCTTTAGAGCAACAGTTCTCCATCTTCAATAGGTCACATGTGATGCTTTAAAAAAACACCATTCTTTGGGCTTTACCCCATGACAGTCTCATTCACTAGGTCTATGGCAGAACTTCACAGCTACCTGGGATAAAGGACTTTAAAGGGGGCCGCTTCCTTTTTTACACAGGAGTAAGAAGGAACCCAGGACCTAAACACTTGGGTGTAGGTCATAGTCCTAAAACATCCCATTTAAACACGTAATGAAGGCTTGTTGAGAGACATTCAGGAAAAGAAATCCTACCTATCCCTTCTCATTTGAATGCAACACCTGGTGTTTGAGAAGCTTTGTGACTGATGCCAGGAAGAACACTCCACTGGTGTGTAAAGGAGAGGTTAGCTAAAGCATTTTTATTTTGCAGGTGCCAACCTTTGCCTTTTCTATGACGTTTGCAAACTCTCCTACCCACAGGAAGCAGCAGTGGGGAGAGAGCAGGAGGAAGCAGTCCCCACTGTTGAGCGCCGAAGCTCGAGGTTCCACCAGCCTGGTCTGCACGTGTCTTCTTCCTGAACACAAGGCAGACAATCACCGTCTTTCCAGACAGAACGGGGACAGGACGCACCCACATTGGAAGCATCTCTGCTGCAGACACTTTCACTTCTAAAGGGTCTTGTCTGCTAATAAGAGTGCCCATGGCCCAGGGTGGCAGCAGGGGGATTTAGAAAGGGCATCATGATGGCATTAGTGGCTGCTTCTGTGGTTTGTGCTTTCCCAAACGTCACCCGCTTCTCAGGACCATTATCAGTGTCACGTGTGTGGGTTAATGAGGGCTCCCCCTTCCAGGGAGATGAGCGCACAGGCTCCTTTTCCCTCCTTCACTCTTCTCCGGGGGCCTTTCTCTCCCCTGGCCACCTCCTGCACCCAATTACATCTGTGGCCCAGGCAAGGGAAGCCACGCCTTCAGGAAGGGTCAGATCTTCCCCTGGGGAGTTTCCATTATGAACCCTAGGGGCCTCTCAACAGGAAGGATGGAGCCACCACCTTCTGTGGCTTTCAACACCTTCTCCTGAATATTTGTTGATTTTGAGCTTTCCACAATTACACTGATCGTGTAGTCTCTGGGTTAGGACTCAGGACAGAGATCGGTGATTTGAGCTTGTCACTGGTCTTTTTAAACACACACAATAGACAGCGGTCATGCAGAAACATGCAGAAAACCCTCCCGGAGGGAGAGGATATTTCCTCCATTCTCATCTGAGGATTCATCTATACAGTGGCCGCCAGGAGGCAGCCGAGTCTCCCTCCTCATGGCCCAGAGCCCCCCTGGCTAGTCTTTGGAATCTCCCTGGCTATGGACAGGAAGGGCACTGGAGTGCAAGGCAGGTGGGCTTCATCTGCATCCACCTTCCCTTGATTCCTTCCCCAAGCTGTGTCTTCCTCCCCGGTTCTGTACTGACTCGGGGAGGACTGGGCAGGGAGCAGAGAGCCCCTCTGATGACGTAGGGCACTTCTGGTAACTGCATGGATGTTTGGCCACCACGTGGGGCATGGGGCACCAGGAGCAAAAGCTGGGATTCTGGAGTGGGGGGACCTGGGTTCGAATCCAGCTTTGCCACCCAGTAGCTGCTGGGACCCCAGACACATTCCTGCCTCTGGAAGCCATGATGGGCAGAATACTTCCGATGTCATGGGATTGGGGGAAGCTTAAGAGACAGGAGGTTGCATAGCAAGGAACACACAGTAGGTTCTCAAAAAGCATGCGTTCCCTTCCCGGCACAGGCGATGAATTACACAGTCAGGAATCTTTATGTGACCAGACAGAAACCACGGGCCCTGAGTCACCGTGCCAGGCTGCTCTGAAATACCTTTAATCTGCAACAGCATCAGCCTCTTGTAGGGCACAGCGCTGTTGTTGGAGTTCTGTTCCATCAGGTTGACACTCCGCAGGCTGACGTTGCTGAAGTTTTCTTTACTGGCTAAACCTGCCAGGGTGACTTCTGAGAAGCTGGAGTTGGAAGACACTGGGCAGGTTGAATAAGGAAAGACAATGCAGGAGGTTCAGTTACAGTGACAATATTTGCAGTCAGAAATTATTCATAACTGACTCAACACCTTTGCCTTTTCAAGTTAATCCTGAAAGGGAAAACGTAATCAAGTTTGATTAAATGTGCAATTCAGTGCTTAACCACCTTGTTAAGAATTAAATACAGCATTGAAAATATAAACTGCTTGTTGACAAGTGTCACACCGTGCTGTGCAGAGGGACAAGAACTGAGTGATGATGTGGACCAGCCACTTTAGTACAAAACCAGGAGTCGGATTCACTTGTTGCAATTCCACTGGAAGCTGTTATAAATCCTAACAACTTTTAGATGCCCGAATGTACAGATGCCAGATGACTGTTAGACAGTTTTCACCAAAAGCCTTTATATGTAAAGAAAACAAAAAAGTAGACACTCTGTAAGGGATGATTCAGTTCTAATCTTTTGCTGAAGCAAAGTGATCAACTAGACGTTATCTTGAGGTCTACTGCTCTCAGAGTTAAGACTGTATTTATAAGATGCTGGGTTTTCAGTGCAAACATCTATGGGTCAGTCAGTCATCACTAATCTAACCCCTGAGCCCCCCAAAACCAGAAGCACAGGAAATGCATGTAAGATTTGTGCTAACAAACCTTTATTTCTCCAACTTATTGTTTTTAAAAATGTATATGCTGGAGAGATACTCAGAACATTTTTTACTGGGATTATGTTTGGAGAAATATGACAATATTTGTCAATTAATTGTGGTGTTGTGATTTTGAAATATGCCTTTTTTTTTTTTTTTTTTTTTGAGAAAGAATCTGACTCTGTCACCCAGCCTGGAGTGCAGTGCTGTGATTACAGCTTACTACAGCCTTGACTTCCCGGGCTCAAGTGATCCTCCTGCCTCTGCCTCCTGAAGTGCTGGCATTACAGGTGTGAGCCACCACACCCAGCCTGAAATAGACTTTCTTAGTAAACTAGTTATAATGAAAATACTCAACCACTTCATCTAAATACTATATTTCTAAGAAAAACATGAGGAAATAGGTTTATGTTATGGGAAAACGAAAATTATAGCAAGATTTTTCCAAAAATCAAGATTATGCATGCTATCACCTCAAACCAAGAAAATCACTGTTTCAGAATGATGGAACCCCACATTACTGGGCAGATGAGAGCAGTGTGGCTCAGCCTACAGTGGGAGTGAGAGCCTGGAGCCCATCTCCTTGCCTCCATTCATTGCCCCTAGCCGGCTCCCTCCAGCCCACATCCCAACTCAGAGAAGCTCAGGGTCCTACCAAGAACAATTGGAAAAGCACTGGCGTATGTGTTAGTTAATAATATAAAAATCTAGGATTAGAAACCCCAGCGATTTGAGGTGTTTTACTATAAGAGATCAAATGACTTGCTCTTGAATAAGATTAAATGGAGAATGATTGTGTTCAGGATCTATAGAGCTGAAAATGGCTGAATTACCGTACCCAGAAATATCCATCTCTTCTAACTTCCGGAAAGAAAACTCAACAAAACAGGGTAATTTGTAACCAGGCACGGTGGCTCGTGCCTGTAATCCCAGCACTTTGGGAGATCAAGGTAGGAGGATTGTTTGAGGCCAGTGAGTTTGAGATGAGCCTGGGAAACATGATGAGACCCCAGTCTCTTAAAAGCAAAAACCAAACCCCAGGATAATCTGAATTAACCAGTTGAACAGGTGATACACACTGTGAGAATTTCCCTGAAAAATCTTGAAAGTCTAGGTATGTGCATGTATGTCCAAACTTACTCCTTTTTACTTCATGAGGGTCTTCTGAGCACCATTATTGGCCTTCACAAGGCAGAAAACCAAGCAATGAGTAAATCTTCGGAAGAAACCATTCCCCAGCACAGAAGCAGGGTGGGGGTTCAAATACTCACTCTTTTCTACTTTCATCCGCTTTGACTC